AATAAACTGAAATGTAGTAGTGGGCTGTACTTTGCACACGGTTGACATCAGGTTCAAGTACACACACAAGCCGTGCGAGTTACTCGTGTACATCAGTTTGGCTGGTGTTTCTGTTGCCTGCCCGCATACCGCCCCCCATGGCCAAAACTGGTATTACAACACCTGCCGAGCCGGGGCTAGTAAGCACAATAACTTGTAATTTTTTTAATGACATCATCAACCTTATTTCTTCTCACTCTTTTGATGCGTGTAGCTCATTTTTTGGATATTTTAACCTCAATTTTTTCCTCAATGGCACCTTTAATGTACCAGGGACACAATATTACCAATAATATTGTGATATTGTCAGTGGCTGTGCTTTGAAAGATATTGGTGAAATGCGGAATGTTTACAACCAAATTTCTTCCTCTCATAAAGCCCATTTTCCAGTGTTTTTTGTAATTATTAACATTTATGTCTCAGCAGAAATGGTGTCCATGTGATTGAGAAAGCCCTATCTCTGCTGTCTCTGACTTCATGGGATTAACCAGAGGATCATTTCTCACAATGTCCTGTTCAGATGATTGTCACACCACTTAAATAAATATCCCCCTGAGGGAAAGCCATGTCGCTGCCTGACACAGAGGGTTCATTCTTTGGCTCTCTCTTTCTCTCTCTTTTTTTTTTTGAGTCGCGTGGGGTTATTCCCCTTGCGTGACCATGGAGGACTTACAAGATGGTGTTCTAAAGAATCTCACGTGGCGTCGCGGTTTTAAATGGCATCCGCGATGTGTGTTGAAGATTGTTTTTTGGCAATTGGAGAAATTGTTGGGCAAAATACATTTGATATTTTGACAACTAGAAAACCTAGCCCTTAACTTGATTGCTCAGTTCGAACCAGAGTTTGACTGCTCCCTTTTCCCTGCTGGTCTCGGTTCTCAATATATCATTTGGGTTCATTCACACTGCCAGTGATTTTCTGGAATCTGTGTGTCCGTTCACACACATCACGTAAAGACTCTTGACATCAGATTGTGATGTATAATGTCTCTGCAGAATCTTAAGTTTGCATATGATCTGTGATTTCTCTCAAATTATTTCTGATTCGATCGTAAACGAATGCATCGCGTAACGTTCCACTAAGCAGCCGAACAATCTCAGCTTGTCACTTCAACACACCCCTTACGCCATTGGTCCTACCTTTTGTTCACACAGGGCGTGCTCCGGGACTGATCCCAGCAATATTATAGGTCCCCATCCCGGGATCAATCCTGTTATCAATCTCGGGATGTGTTTGCATTCATACAAAAGCTACAATAGTAATACTCGGTGTGTGAAAGGGGCTCAGGTATCGGCTATGAAGGAGAAGGTGCCAAAATGGATATTGCTTGGGTCACCGTGGCTTTGCCAACATATTTTGTTGATCCTGGAATAACATTCCTGTCTGAAAATTTTGTCCTAATCCTATCCCTACCCCTAAACCTAACCTTACCCATAACTTACTCCGAAAATCACAGGGAAATGATATGTGAATAACACTGATGTATATACCGCCGCCGACTTGAAAAGCTCTGGTGAAGGACGCCTGTCTAAAATTACGAGGAAGCTTGTTGACGCTTTGGGCGCTCTGACGTAGCGGGAGAAGAGAAGTGTCATAATATGAAATATAAACAGAAAAAGCAAGCAATATGGCACTAGAAACCTTTTATAATGACAGCATTTTTATAACCGTTTTGGTCATATTTGGTTGGGGAAAAAAACGAATAATATTTATAATATAGAATAATTACCTATTATTATTATTTGCATGTATTGCAATTGGTCAAATCGGTGTCACCGTGAGCAAATGAACTGCATTCCCGCTTAAAACGAGCGTTCGTAAATATTTCCAATAAAAGTTGTGCTCATCCTCAAAATGTGTATCACTGGATCATTATGGAAGTTGTTATGTTTGGAGCTGCTGTATTTTATTTTTGGAGATGGCGTCGAACTCAGAAATTTTGGGTTCATGACACCCTCCAGGACCGTTATCTATATGCAAACAACGTCATATCATAGATGATAGGGAACCCAGCATCGGAGATAATTAGCTTCTCCTCCATTTACTCAGAACTCAGACTGATCCCATGAAGTAGCGTGTGTATGACACGCGGCACACGCCAATTCGTATTTCCATTTTTGGCGCGCTATCAAGACGCATAATCGCTTTTCAGCGTGTTTATGAACGCTGTTGACTTAACGTTATATAAATATATGACTTACCTCAACCCCGTCCCTAAACCTAACCGTCACTGGTGTTAATGGCATTTATGACTGTTCCCTTGCCATCCTAGGAAAATAAAAGATCGCTCCCCAGATGTAGATCTACATTTTGCTTCGTTTCGCGCAGACATTTGACGGCGTGTACAGACACGCGGAATCACTTGGACGTTAATGGCGTAGACATATAAGGATACACGCGGATAGCTCAAAATGCGTAGAGATAACACGCCACTTTCGAGTCAACATTATGTTTACGCAAAAGTCATGATGTCATGTTGCAGAACTAATGTTTTGGTAGGAATGAAAGATTACATTGTATGTTTCTCCAGAATCAGCAGGTGCGATATTCCAATTGGTTGCTGGTGTTTTGCCGCTCAATTGCGTCATAGCTCATTATCATAAGGTTTAGCTTCTTTCAACTTTCTGACTGTCGCTCAAAACGCCCAAAACACGTCGCCGATGGATGTGACGCTCCTTGCAGCCGAGAGAGGCCAGCTTCCATTGAAAATGAATGACTTCCGGTTGCATTAGAAACTCAAGTCGGCAGCCGGTGTGTACGTACAGTAACCCTGGTTGTAAGCCTAAACGCGACATAGACTGTAAACTTCCCTTAAATCTGATTGGTTGATTCGAATGGTGTTCCAGGATCAACAAAGATGTTGATCCAGGAACATGTTGTAGGCTACGTGTTGAAATCACTTTCAACCAGAATATAAATAATGGCACTTGGAATCCATTTCTTAAAGGTGCATTGCGCAAGTCTCTGAGTTTTTGCAGAACTACGCCCCCTCTGGCGACAAGTGAAACTGCAACCAGAGGTGTGCACGCTCATGCACCACACACACACGCACGCTTGCACGAGCTGTTCATAAAAGGAGCATCAGCCGCACAAATCTTTTGTTTACAGTCATAATGTCTTCAGAGCTAATAAAATTATAAATCTGCAAGACATTTTAAATATATGAAAGGAAAGGTATTTGAGTAAAATGAGTTTGAGGGTTCACACTCGCACAGCATTCACAACACCCAAATGAACAAAAAACTCTCTCCATGTTGTGGTGCGGTGCCGTTCACCATCTGAGATCACTCATGCTTGTTATGTTAACATTGACAAGGATATAGAAACAGAAGTATATTTGACATAATCTTCATGGTTGATGAAAACTAGGCACTCAGTTGAGGATCACTCTGAACAGAAGGCAGCAACAACACCCTTAAAAGTAAAGGTTTCCCCATCAGCATTATGAAGAACCTTCAACATCCATCGCACAAAATCTTCTTTGCAGTGGAAAGAGATTGTTTAGATTATTAAAATATTCTTCACACCAAGAATATTTTGGAATATTTTAGAATATTCACATATTGAACTGTTCTTCGAGGAACTTAATGTTCTTCCACTGCAAAATCGCCCTTTTGAAACCTTTATTTTTAAGTGTGAATGTACAGTTCAGAAAAAAATGAAAGTTCACTTTGTAGGTTCAAGATATAATATGTTTGAATGTTATTAAAATAATAATGGCTGCCCTACACTGTGTTTTGTATGCGTATTAGAGAACAGTTTGGGTAAACATGCATCGTGCATGGATATTCGGATGACCGAGTTTATATTAGCCTGAGTGAGTTTGGACATGTTTAACATAAACCCAGATACAAATATTTAGAAAACTGTAGAGTTCAGATATTCCCACATTAGATGAAGATTTTCAGCTTCCTATCTGCAAACTAAACCGATTCTGCCAAACTGGCAAGGTTGCACTAAAAAGAGATCATGCCAATCAGCAAGCATGAAGGCAGCTCCCTGACACCTCTACTTGACTGTTTAAACGATGTCAAAGCGTGGTTAGCACAACATTTTTTTAAATTAAATGAGAGTAAAACCGAGATCATGCTTTTTGGCCCCACAAACCCCATGATAGATTTTGGCAGCCTAAATGACTTTGTGCATACTGTTATTACTAATCTGGGGGTTAAAATTGACAGTGATTTTAAATTTGATAAACAAATAAATGCAGTTGTGAATTTAAAAAGTTAAACCGTTCTTGTCTTTGAACAGTTTTGAACAAGCTATACATGCTTTTATTTCCTCTCGATTAGACTACTGTAATGCACTCTATACCGGTATAAATCACAACGCACTTTCACGATTACAGTTAGTCCAAAATTCTGCAGCATGACTTTTAACAGGAACCAAAAAGCGCGCACACACAACGCCAATTCTCGTCTCATTGCACTGGCTTCCTGTTCGTTTTAGGATTGATTTTAAGATCTTATTGTTTGTTTTTAAAGCTGTAAATGGACTGGCCCCAACATATATTGCGGACCTCATTCAAATTTATGCGCCAGCTAGGTCACTGAGGTCGGAGAGCCAGTTCCAGCTCGCTGTTCCTAAGACAAGACTCAAAACTCGAGGGGACAGGGCTTTTTCTGTGGTGGGACCAAAACTTTGGAACTCTTTGCCCCTACATGTTCGAAATGCCTGGACGGTTGAGAGTTTTAAGTCTCGTCTAAAGACACATTTTTATTCCTTGGCTTTTAATCCCGCGTGAGTTGTGTGGTCTTTTGATGTCTGTTATTATTTTACTGTATTCTTGGACTGAGATGTTTTTATTTTGTTATTTGTTTTCATTGTATGCTAATTGATTTGGATGTACAGTATGAATCATCTGTGCAGCACTTTGGAAACTTCCTGTTTATAAAATGTGCTATAGAAATAAAGTTGGATTGGATTGGATTGGATCATGTACAGATGTGGTTCTTACCGCTTGAGAGAACGACCAGGATCGCATGGCAGTGTTGCTGTACCTGCTGGGGAGACGATGAAGGATTTAATACAGGAACAGGCTTAGCAAAAAAACTATATCTGAAAGCTTAAACAAACATGAGGTTATGTCAAGTAGAAATCACTTGTGAATGAAATCCATTTGCTCGAGTTTCCTTAACCTCATATATTTTCGTATGTTTCTATATACAGTACACTGTGGTTTATGAGATTATCTTTTGTGTCTGTGTAAACTATACCAAATTCTGACTCTACCATCTGAATGTCTCAACAGAAATCGAGACTCATCAGACCAGGCAACATTTTTCCAGTCTTCAACTGCCCAATTTTGGTGAGCTCTTGCAAATTGTCGCCTCTTTTTCCTATTAGTAGTGGAGATGAGTGGTACCCGGTGGGGTCTTCTGCTGTTGTAGCCCATCCGCCTCAAGGTTGTGCATGTTGTGGCTTCACAAATGCTTTGCTGCATACCTCGGTTGTAACGAGTGGTTATTTCAGTCAAAGTTGCTCTTCTTTCAGCTTGAATCTGTCGGCCCATTCTCCTCTGACCTCTCGCATCAACAAGGCATTTTCGCCCACAGGACTGCCCCATACTGGATGTTTTTCCCTTTTCACACCATTCTTTGTAAACCCTAGAAATGGTTGTGTGTGAAAATCCCAGTAACTGAGCAGATTGTGAAATACTCAGACACCAACAACCATGCCACGCTCAAAATTGCTTAAATCACCTTTCTTTCCCATTCTGACATTCAGTTTGGAGTTCAGGAGATTGTCTTGACCAGAACCACACCCCTAAATGTGTTGAAGCAACTGGCATGTGATTGGTTGATTTAGATAATTGCATTAATGAGAAATTGAACAGGGGTTCCTGAGTATATACTGTCTGAGAAAATGTATAATAATCAACCTTCACATATAATGGTTACTGTTCCAGATCTTGGGGTTGTCTCTTTCTTTCTGTCCATCATGGGGAATTGAAACCATGTCACCACACTATTAAAAGCCCAAAGAGCATCTCGCATCCTGACAGGAAGAGCTGATAACATTTGAGCTAAGATTCTTCCTGGGCTTTTGCACTGGCTCACAGTGACTGTGAATCTGGGATAGAGGCTGCTCATTTAGTTCTGCACCCACCTGTTGATGAATGCGTTGTTGGAGACCCAGTCAGGATCCTGTGGCAGGACATAAAGAACAGTCAATATATGCTTCAACATGGACAAGGCCACCAATCCTTACTGACTTTTCTGTGCATTTAAAACAGTTTTTGCTGAACAGTGAGTTCTTGTAGAAGCTGATGACCACCCTTTACAAGTTACAGTTTTTGCTGACTAATTATGTATATATTTATACATGTACATTATGTATCAATCAGATAAAACACTTTAAGAGATTCTAGGCAAAAAAGTGTTATATTCACATGCATCACTCACAAAACATGCCTCATATTTATTTGTGCATTATATAATATAATATATAGCATAACATAATATAATAATTCAAAGAGTGAATTCACATTCCTTACAAAGCTAGAGGACATTGATTGTTACTTTGTTCTGTAAAGATCAATGCATTTCTTCAATAAAAGTACAATTCATTGAGTGTTTTGCCAACAAGTAATTTTAGTTTTGTGAAAATGCAGCAAATATGGGGAAATGTAAAAGGTCAGTATGAATGAATTGTTAGGTGAAAATATTAGGGTAATTTGGATTGATAGAGAGCAAAACAAGTTAGACAGACTGTAAAACCTAAATGTAAAAGGAAAGCAGCAGAGAAAGTGCGAATGAAGTTGTACCATGCCACAACTATTATATTTTTAAGATCAGTACGTCTTGGACAAGTGTCACAAAAAATGCATTGTGTTTTGGCTGATTTCATAAACCTTTACAATACTATATTACATCATGCTTTAGTAATGAAAAACCTGCTTGTTCGGGTAATCTGTGTTGGTTTGTCACGTGTTTTAGTTCCCTGTCCTAGTTTTCAGTTCGTTTCTATGTATTCTCGTTGATTTAATTATCATGTACACCTGTCATTCATTTCATGATTGATTTGTTTGTATTTAAATTATTTCTTTCTTTCAGTTCATTGTCCTGTTTCCTTGTGCATTATTCTGTTCATGGTTTCAGTCAAGTGTGCTTTGTTCTGAGTTTTGTTATTAATAAATCTTTACTGCTATGATTAGATCGGTTTCTCATATTTATTTGCAACCTACGTCGTCACTGCTTAGATCTTTTATTATGGAGTTAAATCTGTAGTAAATGCCAAAGTATTACCTATTACTGACGAAACAGACAAATGATGCATTAAACAACTAAATAATTCAATGAAGACAACGTAAAAATATCTGGAATAGCAGCTTTAATGGGCAGAAGCAACTGATGTGGTACAAAATGGTTCAAAACTCTGTGAATAACAATAGATTGGATTGTGCATGATCCAGATATGACAAAATACTGATATAAAACACAGCATTAAAAAAACAAAAACAATTACCGCTGATTTATATTGTGTTATAAACGTTTAGTTTTATTTGGTTCATTTTTTCTCTATTTTTTGAAGCTGTGCTATTTTCCCTTTAAATATAATTTAATATTTGCATTGCTAAAAAGCATACATTTTACAGCGACAAGCTAGGACAGCTGTCATAACTGATTCACCCTTAAAGGGATAGTTCACCCAAAAACAAATAGCGATAATTCACCATTGATTTCCATAGTTTCGTATATGTTTGGAACAACTTGAGTAAATGATGACAGAATTTTCATTTTTGGTTGAACTATCCTTTTAATTAAAACGTTATTATTAACCTTAATTATATATATTTTTTATTCTGTGGAACACAAAAGGAGATTTTTTATTTTGTCTGAGCTGCCCTTTTCAATACCACAAATAAAATAAAACAAATAAAATATTTTCATATCCCAAGTCCTTCTAACGCATCCACTTTTGTGGTATAGAAGAGTTTAAACAACCGGCAAAACATTCATTTTTGTTTACCATGGAAGAAAGAAAATACAGATTTCTAATGACACCGATTTGTAAATGACATCAGCATTTTAATGAAAAATGTTACAAAAAAAAAAAACGTTTTCAACATGCAATAAGCATTTGAAAAAATAAAATAAAAAATACTGTCAATATAGTATACCCATGTTATGTTCCACAAAAGCAAGGCACAACACCATAAATTCAAAAAAGATTAAAAAAAAAAATTAATTTTACTTTGGCGTAATGTAATGATAAAAAATCTCTCAAAATAATTTACTCACAACTCATACTCCTAATACATAAAGGAGAAAACACAATGGGCTCTATGTCTAAGGATGCTCGATAACTTCCGCCGATCGTAGAGTCCAATGCAATACCGAGAATTTACATTGAATTTTATACTCCATGGTTATACTAAAGAAACGTTAGTCACAAAAACAGACAAAACAGATACCCCTCGTTGTGTTTATGCTTCTTTATAAAATTATATTAAATAAACATAATTATATATAAAATTACATCTAAATGTATGAAAGTTTCGTTTCAAAGACGGGAGGACAGTAAATATTGAAGACTCTGCCATAATCCCGTTTTCCTCGGTTTTCCTCCGCTTTAATCTCCACAACCGGAAATGGACGAGCATCCTTGCGTCAAATGCAGAATTTATGCGTGCATATAGCCCATTTAACTATGAGGAAACTCATAGAAATTCATTAAAAAAAAAGTTTGCTCAACCCTCCAATTACATCTATTGAAGGTTACACATCCAAAGCAAAAGACAAGAGAAACAACATCATGCATTTGTTTCTCTGATTAGATATTAGTTGACTAAACTGTTTGGAAAGACATGGGGGAACTGGAAAAAGCCAGCCAACTTTTTTTAAACCAGATTATTTTTTACCAACCATAAGTACCACTGTTACATAAACACTTTGAATTTCATAGATACCACTGTAGAAAATAGCTGAGGTAGATATACATTTTCAAATGGCATCATATACAAATCAATACCGTTGCATAAAAGTAAATCTTTCTGAAAAGACAACCGAGTAGACCCGAGATAATGCATCTCATTTCCCCCCACACGTGTTTCCAAACATACATTTCTGAGGTTAAATTCTAGTCGTTTTAGACACATTAAGGCAATCTAGTCAAGTAGCAATATAGGCAAATAAGAGGCACAAAGAAATATCCCGAGAAAAGGAGAGTGAAAGCATGAGAAAAGAGTCACCGCACACAGCTGGAAAAAGGGAGAACGGGAAGCTGTTAGTGAGTCAATAGCTTAAGCCGTGTGATCCAACTGACCAGTAGCGAGGGCTCCGCGGGAGGCCGTTTGGGGGAGGACGTCATGGGGGTCTGTTTGACTAAGTCCTCCTGATAAGGAATGGTGGCGCTGTTGTGTAGATCCGCACTGCCGATGAATCGGCTGTTCCGCAAGTAGTCCGTCCCGTAAGCGGGTCTTTCGCCTGTGAACTTGTACGACGGGTCCGAGGCCTCCTCGGCGATCGTTGGTATTCGCTCGTTGCTGAGGTATCTGTACGGGAGATCTTCACCTACAACAGAAGATTCAAAAATCCATGTCTTAAAACATATTCATGTTTCAAACAATTGTTTGGTATGAAATCCACTATTTGCAGTGGGGGTATCTTTCTTGAAATCTGTGTAATAAGGTTCCTGTTGGTAGAGTTTTGCTTTTATGAAAAGTGAATTTCATATACACTATGAAAATCAAAATGTGGGGTTGGTATGATTTTTGAGTGTTTTTGAAAGAAGTCTCTTATGCTCATGAATGGCTTCAAATAAATCACATTTATTTGATAAACTATGCAGTAAAAATGACTAAGAAAACAACTATGGAAAGTAAAAAAAAACTACATTTATTTAGATTTTTTTTTGACAATATAAAAGCCTTAACGGTCACTTTTGATCAATTTAATGCATTCTTGCTGAAAAAAAGTCTCAATTTAAAGGCCTGTTCACACCGGGATGAATTTCGCGCGCGGTATTCACCGACGTTTAACGTGACTAAACAAAGGGCGCCAATGTGAGTGTGCACACTGACGCGTAAAACACGTAATTTTTTTTAAAAACGCCTCGGGTTCATTTTTTGTAGTTTGACGCATCACGTCCAAAATTATCTGACCAATGAGATTGGCGCTTTTGCTCACGTGTCTGGAGCTTCTGAAGTTACAGTAAAACACAACTTGGGGGCGCTCAAACACAAAACGGTCTTGCCGAGCACACATACGGAACGGAGAAGATATACACGCCAAGTAGCGTCGCCGTCTACACAGCCAGGAAGAAATAAGACGAGGAAGATGCAAGGCAAGATGAACATAGAGCTGCTGTTCTCGTTGGCGCTAGAACATAAAGAACTAAATATGCTAATATATAATAACACGACAGCAACTACAAACATCTTGATAAAAGAGAACTGTTATAAAGTGGTATTGCAGAGCAAATTGGCGCCATCTAATGTTAGGGAATGAAGTCGCATTGTCAGCGAAAAATCGCTTAGGTGTGAACAAAAAAAACGTGCTGAAAAACGCTGACGAATAATGCGCGCTGATATTCGTCCCGGTGTGTACGGGCCTTAAAGGTCCCCCAGATAACGGGTTATTTTTCCTGGGTTGCCCTTATAATGCTAGTATTTATATCGTTTTTACCTCTTGTAACCACAGCCACGTCCAAGTGATCTGAGGGCGCGGGCGCTTTGGTCTGCGAAAGAACCAGAAGTGATCTCTCGCGCGTGTACGACACTCATTATTTACAGAGATTTCAGAAGCGTTACCTTTCACTGTGAAGATCTAAACATATTTAGATATACAGGACATCGCAATGGAAGACGATTTCAATATATCAACAGACAACATTGCATTTTTGTCCCAACCATATTTAGATCACTTCCGGCGCTTTTCGGCGCTTGCGCAGACCGAAGCGCCCGTGCCCTCAGATCACTTGGACGTGGCTGTGGTTACAAGAGGTAAAAACAATATAAATACTGTTTTCTCACACAAACCGCTCGTTTCGTGTCTTAGGCCATCAATGTGTGCTTACATTTACGAGTCATTAGATCATGTTTAATTTGGACTTCTCTGTGCATGCTCTTTGAGGTGGTGACCATAGACCTGCATTATATGACTGACAGACAAGAACGGTTTGACCTAAAAATATCAAAATTGAAACTACTGTGGAAACAAAGACACCTACATCTTGGATGCCCTTGAGGTAAGCTAAAACATACCAAAAATTGATTTCAAAGTGAACTATCCCTTTAAGTTGTTAAGGTGTATCGATTAGCTTTTGCTCATTATTCCAGTGTTTTCTAGGTAAATTCATGCCAAGTAGTAATTACTGTAATGTAAACTAAAGCCTTCACGTATTTGTAGAACTTGTAATTACAAGTGTAAACTCGAGAGCTACGACTTGGCCACAAGCACGATTCGAAATTACAACATGGCGTGAATGTAGCAATAGCTCTACTTGCTTTCGAATCAAACCTATGACCTTGGTGTTGCTAATGACGTGCTACTAGTTGAGCTACAGGAACATTATGCTATGTTACTTTGCACAGTTTCATCATGTCCCTTCTTGGTATCCTTGCATGTGAAGGTTACTGGCTTTATATAGTCACTGTACAAAGTTACATTTTGGATTTTGGGTTAGAACACTTTGAATGTTTAAGTGTTATATACACTAGGATATAAGAACATTATTGTGCACCCTTTTTCTTGTTTTTTTACAACTAATGGGACAAGAAAATAATTAGTTTTTGGAGCAACAATAATATTGATTCTTATGTTGTGTTCACACTTGTAGTCATCTTTTTACCAGCTAAGAACTTATAAAATGTGTAAAGGAATCAAACCAGCACCATGAAGTCCTCCATTACACGCACAAATGAAGATCTGCTGCAAAAAGACGTGATTCTGATGCCTGTACCGATCTGTAATGGGCAACCAGGTATGCTTGAGCATTTGGTCCGTTTTAGGTTCTTATCTTGTGACATCACGTCCTGTTTTTAGGTTCGGATGGCAGCGTTCAGACTTATTTAAATGAACCGCACTAACAGAGCAAATGCACCAGAGATCCTTTTAATTCAACCAAACCTGCCAAGAGTGAACACACACAAGTTCTCCAGTAAAATTCCTCAAATTCTCTGTCTGTCACAGAGGCCTGGGAACTGGATTAGTTAATGTGGAACGTGTTTTGTGAAGGTGTCCTGTACCTTTCCGTCCTTGAGTCCAGGGCTTCGCATACAGGTCTGCCACGCTCAAAGATGTATCCACTGGCATAGACAGAGGTCGCTGTTTACCTGTGTGTATATTCATGAAAAACAGATGATTACAATCACACTCAATGAGAACATACAAGAGGACCTGGCATGCCAAAGGAATTCTTTCATTTAAGATACACTGCAATGATCCCATTCCCATTACCTATTAGAACAGCATCCACTTTTGTGATTTTAAGTAAAAAAACAAAACAAAAAAAACTTCAAGTCCAATAAAGCACCTTGGTTAGCACTTTATATGGTGCTATATACATACAATTTGATGAAAATCATAAAACAATGGTTTCATTTCATTTACTTATAAAGCACAAATAAAACACAACAGAAGTTGACCACCGTACAAAAGAAAAATTATAAAACAAACCACACACAATACATTAAAGGTGGAATACATAAGATTTTTGCATTAAAATATCCCAAAATCACAACGCCAGTGTTATATTTTTAGTTAAGATGATAACTTACAATATTCGAAATGTTTCAAACAATGTTTAAATCGCGAGAAAATTGAGATTTTAACCAAGGAAACGGGGCGTGTGAGCAGGGAGTCGCCAGTAAATCACGTCATATCCGCATTACCTCGGTTTCCGCTCGTACTGCGTGTAGTCCTGGACAAATGCGGAAGTTGCAGTTGTGCGTTAGCGTCTATCAAGCAACAAATAAGCTTGTTTCGTGCATTTGTTATGGAATGGAGCACAATTATTCTTTAGCAATTGCACCTGGTTCTGTCGACAAAGACAAGTCTCATGAACGCAAACGTCAACCAAACGACCCAAGAAGAATTTGGGACAAGAGAAATAAAACCAGCTCAACATCGGTGTGGCATTTCCTAAATGGAGAGAACTTTGTGAAAAACTCGAACTAGAAAGAGACGCCGATCTTGCATGCGTTTTATTTGACAGGTGAGTAACACCGTGTTCTGTATTCAAGTTTCATGTCAGTAAATCATGCAAAACAATTAGTATTATTGTTAGAATGTCTTGTTGTCTATGCATATGATGTGAAAAATCGTAAGGTCATATTCACCGCGAATACTTCTCGGAATGTGAACTGTTGGCTGTATCTTAGAAAACGACGTTTATCTGAAAATTGTTTCAACCGTCCCGGCTCTCCCCTAACATCTGTGATAACTAATATACTTTACTTTTCTTGCGGTTATTTCAGTTTAATGAAAAACAAGCATGTCATTAAACGCAACAGATATAGAAATCGAACTTTATTTCATCCACGACAACTAATTTCCGATTCCCGTCTGACTGATTTATACTGTCTATGATTTATCCACGGTGGAGTTGAAAACAACAGTTCCCATCATTCCGCGTTCCTCCACGGCGTCATCAAGCAAAGCCGTTGTTGTTGTTTTGAATGTAGCGCCCTCTAGCGGCATAAAATCTTAGGTATTGTAGCTTTAATAACAGACAATAAAACATTAAGTTTGGTTTGATAGAGACCAAAGTTATGAGTGTGGAAAAAATAACAATTTATCTTAGATTTAAAATCATGTAGAGACGTTGCAGACCTCACGGATAAAGGAAGACCGTTTCATGTCATAGGACCGGCCACTGAAAACGCACGATCGCCTCACAACTTTAATCTTGATCTTGGATATGACAGTATAATGCTGTCTGAGGATCGCAAGCATCTTGTTGACTTTTTAACATTTACCAGATCTGACAGATAGGATGGTGCCAGACCAGTCAAAGCCTTAAAAACTAAAAACAAAATTTTAAATTCAACTCCAGGTCCCACTTTATATTAAGTGGCTCTAAGTACTATGTACTTACATAGGAAAATAAGTACAATGTACTTATTGTGTTCAGGTTGTATTGTAAAACACTTTTGCTGCTATTGAGGTGTGATATGGGTTTGGTTAGGGACAGGTGTGGTGGTATGGGTAGGTATCATGGTGGGCTGAGGTGTAAGGGAAGGATCAACTGTGTAATTACAAATGTAATTACATGAATTAATTACAGTTGTAATTACATGCAGGTATTTTCAAAATATAAGTACAATGTAAATACATGTAGGTACACAATAAGTCCAATGTATCAAAGTAGTAACTTCAATGTAAGTACATAGTACTTAAAGCCACTTAATATAAAGTGGGACCCAACTGGATAACACACGAGACAATAATATTGGAGTAATGTGTTCTCGTCTACGAGTCCCAGTTAAAAACCTGGTTGCGGTATTTTGGACCATTTGTAGCCGAAGTGCGAGAAATTCAAAGAGATCAAAGCTCGTACATCAGTTAAAAAGGCAAGCAAAGTTTCTAGGCCTTGCTTGTCAATATCTTTCAGAGGGAGCTTGTCATTATCTTTCAGAGTGTCATCTGCATAAAAATGAAAAGACACTCCATGCTTCCTAAACATTGAGTTAGCATGTATAGTGAAAATAAAACGGGAGCCAGCATAGACCCTTGAGGAACACCACAGGTAACTGGTGCACCAGACAGTGGTGGAGGAAGTACTGAATCTCAGTACTTAAGTAAAAGTACAAATAACCAGATAAATATTTACTTTAGTAAAAGTTGAAGTAACACAATGACAACCATACTTAAGTAAAAAGTAAAAAATACCTAATTTTAAATGTACTTTAAGTATTAAAAGTAAAAGTACTTGCATAACAATTTATTCTCTTCATGTCTATTTTCTAATGATTAATAAAACATTTAATTCTATTATAATGATGTTCAATAATGATGGAAACAAATTGTTGTCACCATTTCTGAAACAAGCTTGCAATTAGGCAATATGCACATCATGCTTATCCTTACTATATGTTAATAACTATGTTTGGCAGAAAACGTGATTCATTTATGGTGTAATTCTGAACCTCTTGGCTTGCCATAATCCTAACCAAACGTATATTACACACGATGCGTTTCCTATGCACGTACAGGCAAATTTTCGCGTATAAATCGCACGATAAACACACTGCGTGCGAGACGCATTTAGTGTTACCTTGTTGATATATCTATGGCAACCAAACGTCACTGGTGAGACAAACGTGCAACGGTCAGATTACGTTTTGGCAGGGGAAAAACTGATCAGAAAATGTAACAGAAGTTGTAGAAATGTAGTGGAGTAGAAAGTAGAATAATTGCTGCAAAATGCAACGAAGTAAAAGAAAAAAGTATGCACTATTTATTCTACTTAAGTAAAGTAAAGAGACGTGAAAAATTTACTTATGTAAAGTAACAAAGTATTTTGTAATCTTACATTCCACCACTGGCACCAGATGATACAGCACGACCAATAAACACTGAGAAGGTTCTACTACTAAGATAAGACCGGAACCAGCTAAGTGCAGTTCCTTTAATGCCCACACACTTTTCAAGACGTGATAAGAGAATGTCATGATCAATTGTATCAAATGCAGCACTCAAATCTAAGAGCACCAACATTGCTGAATTCCCAGAGTCAACAAATAATACGAATTGGTTGTTTTCAAATAAGTGATGGAGATGAGTGATTCCCTTTTGTTGCCAAGATGGAAAATGTGTTGGTTTATTGCATAATTGAAAATCAGGGTTGAACCAGATGGGGGTGTGTCTACATGATGTTAGTGGTTAATTGTTCATTTTGTTTACTTTCCACCAGGCAAGTTAGAGTTGATGCAATTGTAATATTATTAAAATGGGGCATTTTCTGAATTGATTTTGGTAGAAAGACTATATTTGCTATGGTTTTGTTCTAATTCCATCAATGAATTGTTATGATTAGTTTTATGAATCCGTTTATATAAATATTGTAGCTGATTTGCTAAAAAGTAATATTGAAAATTTGGAGCTTCTAGGCCGCCTTGTGATTTTGTCTTTTGTAATTTTTCCAGTGATATTTGAGGTGTGTTATTTTTCCAATAGAAGTGAGAGGTTAATGAATCAAGTGATTCAAACCATTTATCAGTGGGTGTTGAACATTGGGTGGAAGCATTGAGAACAGATAATTGACTTGTGGTAAAGATTTCCTTTTAACTGTAGCAATGCGACCGAACGACAAAATTGGAAAAGTTCCAAAAGTTAAATAAAATATCATTTAAAACTCTTAAAAGTGCTGACTCTGTACTGTGTTTTTTCCTAAATCCAGATTGGAATTTTTCTACGATAATGTTTGTTTCCAGGAATTGCACAGATACAGCATTCTCTAAGATTTTTGCAATGAAAGGTAAATTTGAGATTGGCCTAAAATGTGATAAGACCTGGCTTCTTCAACAGAGGTTTCACCATAGCATGTTTGCAAAAGGATGGACCAATCCCAGAAAGGAATGCTCTTATTTATAATTGCTAGAATCCAATCCCCAACACAATCAAATACCAATTAAACAAAAGGTTTACTGTAAATCTGAAATACTGACCATGTGATGAGGATCTTCCTCTTGGACGCATCTGCACGTTGACCTCGACCGGGTGAACAGACATTTTGTCATAGTCTGCAATTGTGAAGCGCCGGTGGCTCTCCAGGTCCAGGAAGGAGTTTGGGGACTCGGAGCCTTTAGGTCTGGCACTGACACTGCTGTATGAGCCATTCCGTACTTCCCTATAACAGCGGACAAACGTTTATTCAATCAGCAGGAACGATTAAATAATGTAGTTACTCTAACTTCAGAAATACAGAGCCTGGGAAAGCCAGAAATCTACAGAAAAGTACTGCATTGGTACCAAGTGATGGAATACGATGTTACTTTAAAGTCGAGAATCGTCAAGTATACTTGATTTAAAAAAAAAATATCCTCACCTGTGTGGCACATTCCACGACCGGATGAGAATCCATAAACCACATTATTAGACCATTTTCTAAGGCTGCATAATATATTTAAAAGCATTTAAGAAGTCTAATATTTAATTGTTTGTGCTATTGTGAGATCACTTTAGCATTTCTATCGTAAAGAATATTCAAGATTAATTGGACATTTGAATTAAATGTTGTTAGAAAGTACTGGCTAATATAAGGTAAGTACATGGAACAGGGGTAGGTTCAGGGTTAGTACTAGTTATTAACCAGTAATTGTAGTTACTAAAATAAGTACATAGTATTTACATGGGTAACTGGACTGTAAAAGGAAGCGTTACCCAGTGTCCTTGGGTGTCCTGAGAAGGCGCTTTAAATAAAATGTATTATTATTATAAGGGACCTAAAGTGTGCCAAGAAAACATCCCCCACACCATTACACCACCACCACCACCAGCCTGCACAGTGGTAACAAGGCATGATGGATCCATGTTCTCATTCGGTTTACGCCAAATTCTGACTCTACCATCTGAATGTCTCAACAGAAATCGAGACTCATCAGACCAGGCAACATTTTTCCAAATACTCAGAGCGGCCCGTCTGGCACCAACAACCATGCCACGCTCAAAATTGCTTAAATCTCCTTTCTTTCCCATTCTGACATTCAGTTTGGAGTTCAGGAGATTGTCTTGACCAGGACAACACCCCTAAATGCGTTGAAGCAACTGCCATGTGATTGGTTGATTTGTATTAATGAGAAATTGACCTTTCGCCGGCCCCTCCCACAAAATGGCCATTGTCCAATCACACATCATAGCAACCGTTACTGTGTGAGCTGTTCCGTCAAACAGTAAGCGGTGCGCCCACGGCGTTTGTAAATCGGACACATGATACCCCGAGAGATTGTCTGGAGAAGTTGTGTTTTTTCCCTTTCCAAAGTCCAAAACACAACGCGAGCGGTGCCTAAGATGTATTAAACAGTGTGGACGCCCCAATTCCAGTTAAATGTGTCGAACATGGTTAACTCGTCTCGCGTGCAGCGTGCGTGCGACTGAGATTAGTCAAAGAAGCACGGAGAAAGCAGATCAAGAGGATCCACAAAGGACTTACTGTACATTTTCTAAAAGGTTGTTGTTAACATACCATGATATTCTCTGGGAAAATGAGCAGCAGTCAGCTAAGTCAGCAGTGCAGCACCGTAGACTACAGTTTAGAGGACGTTCACAACGGGGAAAGCATGAAGCTTACATGACAACATCAGTTCATATATCAATATCGTAACGAATAGAAATAACCTTAAATAACGTATGGTTCTCTGCCTCTTTCCGTCTCTTATGCATAACGTTAGTTACTTTTTAAACACGAAAATCGCATTCAGCATGAGCATGACACGCAATCGGTTGCTGTGGTAATGAACAACCTGCTTGTTAAAGCGAACGTGTACTCCTGTATCGGAGGCAAAATGAATAAATATGCAGCGCAAGTTATATATTTCGAACTCCAAACAATTAGCCACTGAACCAGTTTATAAAATCTTCAAGGCTGTGCTGGTTGCATTTGAGGTAACTTAGCATGGTCATGGGGTTTTTCTGATTTTTCTTGAGACTGGTAAGCATTAGCATCATTAATAGTAGTCGTGTCTCATTCATTTCTTAATTTTATATTTGGAATAAATCCCTCCACCGCATACCGTAACCCCTTTTGCTTCGATCTTGCTTGATATCGTGGAGGTATTGCTCCAAAAAAGGTCACCGACACGCACGGGAATACCCTTTGCCGTCATGGCAATCTGTCGCGCTGCCCGTGTTTGACCATTTGTTTGACGGAGGTAGCAGCAGTAACTAAGGGGGGCGGGGCTCGGCGAAAGGCTAATTGAACAGGTTTTCCTAATAATCCTTGTGAGTGTATATACTGTATATACATCATCCAGCTCAGTTCAAATCTCATATAATGGTGTCAATTTAGGCAGATGAATATTATTGTTGAATATTCGTTTTAAAACAAAGATGGCCTTGTGTCATTTTTATATATGTATTTTAAGTTCACTGGACATTTATTTAAATTTTTGGGGGTTGTAATGACAATACACCTATTACAAGATTACCAAAATAATCCTTAGTGACAGACGTAAATATAATTATACTTTGATACAGGCAATGTATGGAATGTTTACTATAATAAAAACACCATGATATTTACAAGGTATTTGAATGCCACATGTTCCAGAGGTTTTGGCTTCAGGCTCACCGTGGAGTGTACGGCACTGAGGGAGGTGGAGGGATGTACAGGTCCAGTATGGCAGGCTTGTCCTTTCTACTGCAGAGTTTGGCAGATTCTGGTGACTGACTCTTACTGGGAGATGTGGAGCTCTGCAGAACATGAGGGAAACCTTTGGTAAAACATTTCTTCACAAGTTAAAAGCCACATATCCTCAAGACATCACTAAATGTAGCAACATTTGTTCAAACAAAATACTTGGAAATAGATTGATTATATGTATACAGTATAATATAATGATTCATTATATTTTTTTATACCATGGTCTGGGTGAATACTCGATTCTGATTGGCTGCAGGGTGTCCGTTAAAAAGTGATAGAGGACACCTAGTAAAGTAGTTCTGGTGAAACTGCCTGTTTACCATTCGAAATGAATAAATAAATGCGCTGCCTACAACGGCTGTGAGTAACCATAGCAACAGGCAGTCACATGCTCTATCATCTAACGTTAGATATTATAGCCTAATACAACAATGAGCGACTTCGTGCTATTTCTTTTAACATTTATGGAGAATATGGCAACTTTGACGACTGGTATGCTGCTGAAGAAAGAAAAAATGTAAATAAAACGGAGAAAATTACACCGCTGCTGCTCTGCTCCATTGAACTCTATTGGTAACGACGTAACTTGCGACCATAGTTGGATAACGATGCTTTCGTGGAAACGCACCCCTGAATGAGACCCTGCGGGAGTTTTACGCAGCTGTCCAGACAACCAAGGCAGGAGAAGGCTTAACGTTACAGCGTTTCAAGCCTAAGGAGCCTGAGGCAAATGACCCTCTCTTTGATCTGATTAATTTATTGCCCTCTATAACGTTAAGCGCAAATCGCTGGAGCTCAGAGCTAATTGTTTTTTTTATTGTTGTTTGATTAATTGTTTTAGGTGTAATAAAAAAAACTATGCCTACCTTTGTGTTTCATGAAAAAAAAATGCATTTGTGAACCTGAAGGGATACGAGCTAAGCGGACTATAAATATCTCCGGTTGTTAGATAAACAGTCAGTCAAGTTATTATTTGTAAAAACTAGATTTATCCTAATTAAAATATAAACTAATGTTTTAAAAATGTTTTATTTGGCAAGTGACCATGGTATAAGCGGGTTAATGCCCTCCGAGGTGTCCATTGTCAGGTTTTAATGGACTTCGGCGGAGGCAACCGTCCTCCGCTGCGCGTCGGCCGGTTTACGCCTCGCCGTCGTCCATTAAAACCTGACAATGGACACCTCGTCGGGCATTAACCCTTACTTAAATGATACAACAATAGATCAACTGTTCAAACAATATTAGACATTTAAGTGTGACCACTGTATAAACCGAAACATGGCACATACACCCAGTTTTTTTTTTCAATATTACTGTTTTTACTGTATTTTTGATCAAATAAATCTTTGTGAGCATAAGAGACTTTTAAAAAAAACATTAAACTTTTTGACCAGCAGTGTATATTTGGTCATATAGTATAAAATGTATATTTCATGCATGTTTTCTTAAATTATTCTTTTTACCATCAGAAAACACAATTCAGTTCACTTGTGTGTTCATGTGAGGACTGTTAATGCGTTATGAATGACACACCTGAGGCACGGGTGGTTTCCAGCGCATGTTTTTGAGAGGTGCTGGGGTAAATCCTGAGGTTCCTGTGGGTCTTTTCTTTAAAATAAGTACAACACGTTTAGGGTCCTCTCTCAGCTTGGCCACCAGGTTCTTCAGCTGCCAACCCACCTGGAGCAAACAAGCACAAGCCTTTAATTCTGCTCAGGCTTTTCAGATTCTCATAGGCACAATCCCGCAGAGAACGCACTTCTGAACATTCATTTTTCACAAGTATGACTAATCGTGAAGAAATTGATCTTAATATAGCAGACGGGGTGCAGAGAAATGACGTAAACACGCATTCATTCAGTACTAAAAAAGTATAGATGAAAAACAAAAAGGTTTATTTTAACAGAAAATATCATTGTACAATACAAAAAACGTGTGCGCATAAAGAAACGCTTACCACTGTCTGCTGGTTGACCTGGATGACCTCGTCTCCGGCGTGGATCTTGTGTGTCAGATCTGCTGGAGACTAACGGGACATTCAATAAGTGTCTGTTTTCATTCAAATATTCACATTCTGTTAAAACCATTTGTAAATGTTGTGAACAAGATGCGATCCCTAACCCCTTCACTAAATATCGAAATAATTAAATAATAATAAAAAGATTGCTTAATAGAAATGGGGTAAAATTGCCCCTAATGAATTAAATGAAATGTTAAATTAAATCACAATAAACAGAAATAAAGGCACAACATATAACCATGCACATAATCCAAAACCATGCTATACAAAGTAAGAGCATGTCTTCTAAAGAACAGTGTACGTTATATGAACACACGCTATATTAAGTTCTCAAATTCAATTATCAAAACTTTTTACATATTTCTAAAATGATAAACCTAGTGTTCATTTTCATTAAAGGGTTAGTTCACCCAAAAATGAAAATTATGTCATTGATTAATGACTCTCCCTCTACTCCGTTCATCTTCAGGACACGGTTTAAGATAATTTAGAGCTTTCTGTCCCTCCATTGTCCTTGTCCAGAAAGGAAATAAAGACATCATCAAAGTAGTCATGTGAAATCAGTGGGTTAGTTGCAATGTTTCGACGCATCGAAAATACATTTTGGTCCAAAAATAACAAAAACTAGGACTTTATTCAGCATTGTATTGTCTTCCGCTTCTGTTGTGGATCCGTGTTCAGTGACACGGCTGACGTGTGTCTGGTGCGGCTGAGCTTCGGTTACAGTCTGAGGGAGACGCACGCTGTACAAAACGATTTTCACAAACATGTCTAAGGATTTCCACACAGAGGAAGACTTGCATTTTTGCCCAGCCATATTTATTTGAACCCGAATACACGGACGCACCAGACACACGTCAGCCGTGTTTTACATGAGGGAAATGTATTATTGAAAATTGTTCACAAACCTCTGAAATGACATTTATGCATGTGTAAGACTAAGATTAACCCCTTAGCTGTCACCCCCCTTTTTGAGAATGGGGGTTAAAATGCACTATTCAAACTTAAATGGTTGTAATTTAAGAATGCTTTGGAATATATACCCAAGTTTGTTTTAAAGAAAACACTCAGCAGAATATTGCTGAAGTGAAAACACTTCAAAAAATGAAAGTATGAAAAAGTTATGAAAGTTTAAATTTACAGTAAATTAAATATACTGTACTATATATTTTTTATTTTATATAAAATATATATTTTATAAAATATTTTTTACTCTAAAATTTCTATAAAATCAAAGCCATACATCTTATCAAGTTATGTTCCAAATTTGAAGTTGATATCATAAAAATTGAAGTTCCCATGAGATTTTGTTTAGGCGTAGTACCAAAAATAGCCACCGGGTGCCATTGAATTACATTGAATTTAGTTGTATACATTTTGCTTTAATAAATTAATACATTTCTGTCCAAATATCAATTCTGTCACAAAATTTGGAATATCAGTTTTGTCAAGATTAGAAAAGGTTTTGATCATTAATTATGAAATATAATGATGCCCAAAAGGGGAGGAGCCTGATAAAATAAGTACCGTTTCTATGGTAACGCAACTTTCAATTATAAAACAGTTTTCACACGAAGAATTCTGAGTTTATAAGCTTTCAAATGATACCTAATTTATGATAACTACTAAAATATGTGATATAATAAAAAAAGGCGATAAAAAATAATATTATATTTTAGAGGACAATAAATATAAATATTATCATTTTTAGAGTATAATATTGTACTATAATTTTTTTTTTTATTGAAAAATACTAGATTATATGTTTATTATGAACTTTTAGCATAAAAACAGAAGTTTCAATGATTAAAAGTGGGTTCATCAACTTTTTGTGACAAAGGTCAAAACTCCTGTTATGATGCAGATTTTTTGAGGTGCACTCTTGTCATAAATTCATCAATTACTCTTCCTACATAATTTTTTAACACAAAACAGGGGTAGAATATCTATTTAGAAGTCTTAGACCTTTCCAACAATATATAATTTGTCATAATTAGATTAGGATTTAATAGAAATATACGTAGTGAAGTAAAGTTAGGCGTCCCGGTACCGGGACAGTGACAGTTAAGGGGTTAAAGTGGCTTGTATTGCATTCAAGATATAGATTTTACAGTATCAGTTCATGCATTCCCAGGAATGCAATCTAATTAAAGAAGAATATGTAAACTTGACATGCAACATTCTTACTGAGGCCTAACAAACACTGGTGAGTCTGCAATCTAACAGAAGCCCCATCTATTTATGAGTTTGTTCATTTAGACTCAACATTACGTGCACACAGAGGCTAAATTCATCTTAGCCATTGACATCAAAAAGCGAATAGTGATACATCAAATGCTTTTGTCATTAGAGCCCTTACTCACATGTTCAGTGGTGCCAGTGATGACGTGAAGCCCATCGTAGGTGGATTTGATGTACATCCCCTGAGTAACAGGAAGACAAGGAGAGAAAACGTTAAAAACAACAGAAATAGAGAGAGAACAGCACCATATACAGTTGGTTGGCAGACAGGAACCTGCAGACATAGAGAGAAAATAGAAGTCTGATTCATATCCTATGGGATAGTTTCATTCTCTGACGACAAGGAACACCGTCTTGGACCAGCGATAAAAAAAAGTACTAAAAGTTCAACATTTTCAGCAGTGACTAATCTGAATCCCTCTGATTGGCCATTGCGTTCATGAGCTCAAAAGAAACGTGTGATTGGTTAGAAGGCTCCACAGTGCAAATACGTTAAAAATAAACCTGATACAACATGAGCTGCTCTAATGTAATGGCGCAACCAACACTTTTCATTCCTTTTCCACATGATTTCACTTTAATTGGAACAATCGCCACACTGTAAAAAAATATATCACAACATATTTTCTTTTGTCAAATCAACTTTATAATAATTTATTTAGTTGAGATAACTTATTATTTTGAGTTTCTGATGATTACATGAATCTCCTTCATTGTATTAACTCACTTTTTCCAGTTCAATCAACTTAAAATTTTAACGCAACCTAGGTTACTTAGTTTTTTAAGTTAAACCAACAATATTTTTTTACAGTGTAGTAATCACAACATTTTTTCTTTTGTCAAATCAACTTAAATCATTTATTTAGTTCAGATAATATATAATTATCAGTTTCTGATGATTAAATCATTCTCCTTCATTGTATTAACTGACTTTTTCCAGTTCAATCAACTTAAAATTTTAAGGCAACCAAGTTACTTACTTTAAGTTAAACCATCAATATTTTTTTACAGTGCATAGTCTTGGCATAATTTAGTATTAGCCCTTGCTAATTTCAGACCCTGTTTGACACTCTTTCTTTTTTGTTACATGGAAATCAAAAGGAAACATACACTCTAAAAAAATGCTGGGTTGTTTTAATCCAATTTTGGGTCAAATATGGACAAACCCAGCCATTTGGTTACATTTTTAAATGACATTTTTAACCCAATGTTTGAGTTTGTCCATATTTGACCCAAAATTGGGTAAAAACAACCCAATTTGTGTGTAGAGTGTACTGAAGAAATTTTCCTTGCAATACATTAACTGATGCAAAAGCACCATTAAAAAGAGTCTAATATAAAAGCAGTCCACATAACTATAATCATAGACTTCTGAATTTAAATTTCATTGATTGATAGTGTTGGGACGACATCCTGGTCCAGACCAGACAACTAAAATGAAACACTGGCTTTAAAAGTTCAATGATGTCTGGAATCACTTTGATAATGAAAATATAGTTAAGTGCAAGATGCACATTATAATGAGGATGATAATAATACACTTTTGCAAATTATTTGTGCTTGAGTTGCCCTTGTTGTGTTGCTAGAAGTGTGCATTCACAACCGTCAACGTCAAGTCCATGACACTAATGTGCTTTTGTGTAGATTAAAGTTCTAATATTGAGTTTAATATATGAAGAGTTCAGATGCAAAAGCCTCTAAATGCCATTTGAAATTTTCTTCTAAAATGACCATTTTTATCAAGCTTGTATATTTAAGTTCAGTAATTTCACTTAAATGACAATTAATAGGTAATCTTCATCGCCATTTAAGTGAAATTACTGAACTTAAATATACAAGCTTGATAAAAATGATCATTTTAGAAGAAAATTTCAAATGACACTTAGAGGCTTTTGCATCTGAACTCTTAATATAATATAATGGGATAGTTAACCCACTCTATTTGTTCCAAACCTGTATGACGGTCTTTCTTCTGCTGAATAAGAAGACATTTTGAAGTATTTCAGTAACCGAACAGTTGATCTATCTGACTATCTCTTTAAGTTAAGTTGTGTATTTGACTAGAATGCAACAGTTCAAGTTCACTTATGCGTTTGTGTCATTTTGTGTAGATATAAAGAATTTGTAATATTATGTTTTGAATATATAATCTTATTAGATAATCTAGAATTATTAGTTTGATTGAATTAAATGAGATTAACCAGAATATATTAGTGTACTATTTAAAAATGTACTTTATTTTAAACGACCATATTCCTTTTAGATGTTTCTCATATTTTTTTTAAATGATGATATATAATACATTATAAATAAATATGTTTTAATTAAAATTATGTACTCGCTTTATTGATCTATTGTGTACTTGAAAGGAAAAACAGGCTAAAATGCACAACGCTAAAACTTTCTTTATGTTCTCCTTTTGTGTGTGAATGGCATGAGTGTGAGCAAATGGTGAGAGAATTAGAATGTTGTTGTTATGACCCGTTTGAGATGCCGTTTACAGGCATAACATAAAAACATTCTGAATATAAATAATGATTATAAGTAATAATTCTCACCAATCCCTCTCCTGGTTTGATGTTGGTGAGTTGAACTTCCTCCAGACACGCTGATTGGCTCATGAGAGGATCAGACGTGGTTCTCACAGTCTGGTCACAAATACTGTTCAACACCTTTGACTGGAATTAAGCAGAACAGAGTGTTCAGAAAAGTCGTCTTCAAATTCTGTCACTCAAAATTGATTCCTGTGCATTTCTGTTTTCCAGAGTCTAAATGGACTAACATGTTAGTTGTAACAACAAACACTTATTTTAATTGAATTTAATGCAAGATCTGTGCCTAGAAAAACAGATATCTTAGGTTTACTTTAAAATTCCATGTGAATCAAACCAAGCCAAGCACATAAATAAACCACAGGGCATGCATAAACAAAGTGAACGCTATCCGGGCTTTGATTTAATTTTCCGCTCAGTGCACAAGGACAGGAGCGCCAACAAACTGAACCGTACATTCTGGATGGAGAGAACAGCATTGAACAACGTGGTTTCATTTGATTTTTTATCGCTGTTGGAATTGTTTCAAAATTTAACCTAGATTTGAAGAGTTGAATGTCTTGTTAAATATCTCTTTTTAATTTCTATATAGACTGTAAAAAAATGCTGGGTTGTTTCAAGCCAAATTTGAGTGAAATATGGACAAACCCAAATGTTGGGTTAAAAATGCAAGTTAAAAGTTGAAGTTGGGTTAAAATTTAAAATGACATTTTTAACCCAGCATTTGGGTTGTCCATATTTGTCCCAAATTTGGGTTCAAACAACCCAGCATTGTTTAGAGTGTATAGCTATAGCTATAACGTGAAAATACAAATAATCTACACTACCGTTTAAAAGTTTCTTATACGCAACAAAGGTTGCAATTATTTGATCAAAAATACAGAAATATTGTGCAATATTATTACAATTTAAAATAACGGGTCTTTATATTTTAAAATGTAATGTATTCCTGTGATCAAACCTGAATTTTCAGTTCCATTACTCCAGTCTTCAGTCACATGACATGATTTTTTTTTAAGTTGTTATATGGGGGTCAATTAATTATTTATCCTTATCAATTTCAAAAACAGTTTTGCTACATAATATTTTTGTGGAAACCCTGATGCATTTTTTAAGATCGTAAAAAAAAGTAAAAGAAAAAAAGGAAAGTTCATTAAAACAGCATTTAATTTAAACAGAAATCTTTTGTAACATTATAAATGTCTTTATCGACAAATTTGATCAATTGAATACATCCTTCTAAATAAAAGTATTAGTTTCTTTAAAACTCTTACTTACTTTTTGAATGGTAAACTGTGGTAACCTGTATTTATTACAGTAAATAGTTATTTCTACACGATTTAACATAAAAATGAGTTTAGCTGGTCTAAATTGATATGTTCAGGTTTATGTAAAGGTTGGTTCAGTGATGTTGAATCATATTTTTTTTAACTTAAAGCTGTTATTTTATATGTTACCCTCTTTAAGTAGTTTTTAAGTTATTTTTCAACAATAACAAGAATTGATTCATGTGAACTAAAGACTAGAGTAATAATGACAATTCAGAGTTACCATAAAAAATAAATTACATTAAAAAATTGTCAAATAGAAAACAATTATTTAAAATTGTAACGATATTTAGCAAATTTATTTTTTTAATCAAATCAAAACTTTTTTTCTTAATTATTCCACACTTTTGACCTGTATTGTATATTTGTTTTGTATTGCAGACAGCTCATTATACTATCAGCTTCTTATGAATGGTCTGCCTTTCTCTCTGCCGCAGACGCTAGACAGTGAAGGAATGCAGGGCTCATTCATGCTTTATGTGTGTGATTTTGCCAATCTATTATGACTTAGCGTGTGCTTGCATGTCAATTCCAAACTTCCTTCACCCTTCCCAATATGCACGCATGACTGCATGTGTCCACATTTCACTGCACTTAAGGGTTTTAACTCTTTCCCCACCAGCTTTTTTAAAAAAAAAAGTTGCCTGCAAACATGCAATGTTTCAAAAAAAAACAAACAGCCCCTCTGCTTTTAAACAAACAAACAAAACAAACACATTTTATTCCAGCGTAATGCTTTTTTTTTCAACACTTGAAACAATTGGTAAGTTTTATAAAAAAGCAACATATTGATGAACAAACTGAGAAAATCATGTTTTTGTTGAAGACTACGTCTGGATCGGATTCAGAACGATGATCAAAACACAGATGGAGTAGATCGAGTCCATTAACAGCCCCAAAGCTTCACAGTCCCACAGCTCGTCCTAGGTCGCCATTTCATACAGTAACATTATGCAGATTTATATGCCGTTTAAAGGGATTCTTCACCTCTGGATAGATGAATGTGTTTTTAACCCTCAGGTGCTCTTCGTTTCGGAGTCACACTTGTTATCTTCCCGGTCAAAAGTGACCGGACACCTAAAAATGAAACTTTCTCCATCCCAGTAAAACCAATGCAATTTATTTTTGTTCTATAATATTTATTCTTTTTAATTTAGTATTTTGAGACAATTTAATTGAATTTATTCTAGGCCTTCAGAAAAAAATATTTTTTGAAGAAAATTAGCACCATCTGGTTACAGTATATAGAAAAAGCGTAGAATCATGGTATAACCACTAGATGGCATGTACAGCTCTCTATGGAGAGGCATGTGAATTCCCCAGCTGTTTATGAACACATTTTTTTTTTTTTTGTTGTTGTTGGTGGATTTGTATATATAGTTGAAACAATCTCAAAAACTATTTCTTATAATAAAAACAAATATTCACAATTTTTTTCTTTTTACAATTTCCTATTCATTTCCTATGGGGTCATTTTTGACAAGTGTGACTATTTTTTTTAAGACCACTTAGCATGCTCAGATCATGACCTCAATTTATTTGTGTGTTCACATACATAATGCCATAAAGGTCACCAAGTTTCGTAACATTGCGATGAAGCTGTGATTTTTAAAAATTCAAAACATACTTTTTGTAATCAAAATTTATTGGTGTGTATGTGTATAAAAGTGTGTTTGTATGTGTGTGTGTATTGGTGGGTGTGTCTGTTTTGCACTCTAGATGTTGTAGAGTGTCACCCCTTTCTTGCGGTGTACTTTTTTTTTTTTTTAGAATTGTGGCCGATTTGTAGATTGTACATACAAAAATTCAGAGAATTTTTTTTTGTGTGTCAATTTCCCATTCATTTCCTATGGGTCGTCATTTTTGACAGAAGAGCAAAAGTGTGACTCATTTTTTTACGACCACTTAAATTGCTTGAATCATGACCTCAATTTTTTTGTGTGTTCACATACCCAATGCCATAAAAGTCACCAAGTTTCGTAATTTTTTGAAGAAGCTGTGATTTTTAAATATTCAAAACAGATTTCTTTAAATCACAATTTATTGGTGTTTTTACTGTGGCGAGCGGGACGAGTGAGGCCCGCGGGAGAATGGCACAAGGCCAGTGGCGTGATTACCGATGAGCGACACCTGTGAGACACACCGGTCTCGTATCTCTCACGGAGGAGCGGGAATTTTCTTAGCAATGTTAAAACACATCAACCGATCACTTGTTTAGCGTTCATGTAAACACTACATTCAGACTTACCAATCAGAATGAATTCAGTTAGATTGAAACAAAAGTTGTGCATGTAAACAATGAATGGCGACTGCAGAAAGCAAAAGCTGAATCCCGGACATCAACGGCCGGACATGTCCGTGAAAAAGAGGATGGTAACCCCTGCTACTCAGCTTTCTCCACAGAACAAGAGCCTGTTAGCTTAGCTTCCAAAAAAAGATGGCTGACACTATGTGTTCATTCTGTGAGTGAGATCCCTCTATGGGCGGGTTGAGGACATACGGGACAGGCCCTACTACTGACTGTAGTCAAAATGAAGATTTTTGCATCATCGGAGGATTCTTTCCAGACAAAAAAAATACATAAACCTCTCGTCTCAGGGGGATATGAGGGTGGAAAGCATGGTAAGGGACTGTTCATTTTTTATTTAAGGGGCCACCGGAGGAGATTTGAGGTCTGTAGCCAAAAAAGACTTGACCCTCCCTTCACCAGCAATAATTTTTTCTACTGTATGACCCTCCAAAATGATTGTGAAAAAAGGCATGAACCTTCCCGATAATTTATTGATTACTTCTGTACTGGTTTGCGCTTGGCAAAGATGTTCAGAAAGCCATAGTTTTTTTTTTTTTTGCAACCATGATAAATGACTAAACTTCTGCTTTCTCATCTTACTAGGGCTGTAAAACAAATGACTTGATTTATATTAAAAAAAAAAAAGAAATGCAAATGCAAACAGATACTTACAACATCCAAAACCTTCTCTTCCGTGTCATACACAGTGCAGTCCTGTGCAGGAAAGAGAGAAAATGTTTGAAATCACAGTAAATAATAAAAACAAAAAGTTCAGATTCAGGAATGTATAATTACAGAGCAACAGTGAATGACCTCCAGCCTCAAATAAACAGCTTTCAGTCTTGAATCACATCTCCATGTCCACTCCGAGACAAGATAATTACACAACACACTGTGGGAATCCACCAATGTGAGGGAGAGAGAGAGAGAGAGAGAGGGAAGGGAAACCAGCATCTGCTGCATTACGCATAGAAGGGGAAGAAACATTCAATAAAGGCTGTTTTAATATTGCTTTTACACACAGTGTTTTGAGAAAATGATGCATCCGATTTGTAATTTGCATGAAGTGTAATTATTAACGTTATTTCGGGAGGAGTACGCCCATCTGATCTTATTAATACCAGCCTCTTACCACTTCCCATCGTTAGTTCTTTCTTCATCCCTCCTTCTCCCCTTCTCCTTTTGGACCATATTTTTCCTGTGTAATAGCGGGGCAATCAGAGTTCGAGTACAATATCCTCTCTGAGCCCCTCTATAGCGGACAGCAAGCCAAATCTGTTTACCACTTAGGCTACGCTAAGATTATATGGGCACACGAACTTGTGAAATGAAGCAAAATTCATAACCTTTTTGGGACAATTGCAAATTGTTTGAGTTTGGAGAAATATGTCAAATGTGTGTACCAGACTCCTGTTGAAAACACTCATGCTGTTACTGATCATTGTGAGATCCCTACCGGCTCCACTTACTCTCTATAGAAACTCTTGGTTGATTATGTCACTCTATCAACCACTCTCATTCCTTAACTCTATATTCATTCCTTATCAATCATGTGCGCTCAGTTACTGATCCACAGGAAAATCGTTTTAGTGTGTTTTTTAAACTAGGCACAAGTAAGTAAGGAATAATTAAAAACAGGTCCATTGAATTGATCAGAAAAGATACAGCAACCACCAACTGAAGTGCAGTTACACCTTGAGTGTGTTTTATTTTTCTAATAATTCAAGTGCCTAGAGTCAATTATTCCATTTATAGTATGGTTACTACACTGTAAAAAATGATTTTTTGGTGAAGTAAATATTAGTGAAAAATAACAATGTAATTTACATGAAAAAGTTAGTTCAGGCAAGAATTAAAAAAAAAAAAAAAAACGAAGTCAATTCCATATCCGACTTAATTCAAGCGAGTAGAAATGAAAGTGTAAATATCAACTCAATAAAATGAAGTAAAAATGGTAAACCAAAACCAAAAATGTTGGTTTTAATTTGTCAAAGTAATATGGAACTGTAATGCGTTCTTCAATATACAGTATGTACACATACAATTTTATTTATTTATTTTTTTCCCTGTATGCTGTTTTAATTGTTAAAGCCACAATATGTATTTTTTCTGCATTAAAAATAGCAAAAATAACTGTATCTATGTTATATATTTCTGTTAGATATGTACTTACATTATCCCGACAGTTTCCACCAAATTTCAAATACGGAGAAATTTATAGTTTAATTCGAAGACACGGGACGTTTCTTTATTTCCGTTTCGTCGCCCGTCTATGGCGTCATATAACCTTTGACTCCTCTATTTTCTCTAACTTCCTTGCGGAACCCGGCGAAACCGTCAAACACAAAGGGGAACACTGGACTACCGCCAATAAAGCAAAGAAAATGACGAAGAAAAAAAAGTAGTACGTATTTTTGTGTGTGTAAATCACAGACACGCTGTCCCCGGTGCTGCTCGCGCATAAAGCGCTCCCCGTTCACAGTAACCGTGTCGTCTCATTCAAATCAGTCAACTGTTGCTGTTAGCGAGCCGCGCACATTGAATACTCATATGAGTCAGGCTGCAAATGTACGTGCCCGCTTCAGCGCGCTCATGCTTACTAAATAAACGCCTTACCTCCGGCGCCGCGCACTTACTACATTCCCTTTAGCACATAGTGGATGAATAACGCAAACCCAGTCAAACGTTTGACTGCAGTATCTTATGTGCTTTATAATCCGGTGCGCTCTATATATGAAAAATGTTCTAAAATAGGTCATTCATTGAAGTAGCGTAATATTAATATTTATATTCGTCTGTATAATAGTTATGGACCACGATTACGCTTTGCCTGCACGTTCTGCTGCTACAGCCAGCTCATTAGCTAAAGCTCAAACGTACCTGAAAAATATGACCCGAGGTAAACATTGGGGTTGCATTTAAAGCTTCTTGACAAGCTAAATCTACAGAGAGATGCCGTATATCCGTATATTTTGTGAAACGATGATGTCATGTCATGAGCTGAGCTGGTTGTCATTGACAGCGACAACAACTCCCGTGAGCCCACGCTCTTTCCCGACGTCATCAAAGTACGTCTTTTGTTATTATTTTAAACGAGTGACCCCTGGTGGCCAAAAATCGCATACTGTACGTTTAAATTAAATTTTAGCATGTCTGATTAATTGAAATCATTAAACTTAAGCAATATAACAACAATTTATACAAATTTTAGCAAAAATTATATTCTTAGGTCCCTAAGAAATGGGTTTCGTTTTTTCTCAAATTCCATTTTATTTTTTACCTGAATTCTGTTTTTTCCATTGTATTTTTTCCTGGATTCCATTTTAATTGTTTTTGTTTTTTTTTAAAATTGTTATTAGAGTTGAATTAAAACGTCACAAAACATGATAAACGTATTTGTTACCTGTTATTTTTAATAATAGGATATATATATAATTTTTATTTATTATTATTTTTTTGAAAATCTGTGTTGTTAAGTTTCAGTTTTTCTGGATTTAAGATGACACAAATAAATTAATATTTGTTAAAAATAAATAAAAAAAGTGGTTTAAAACATCAGAAATAAAATCAATCTTTAAAATAATGAAACGAAAATTAAACAATATTTTTTTTTTTTGGCAAACACAGTGCTGCAAGCAGAGGTTTACTTTTCAAATGAAACCATGGAAGACAAATTGTGTGATTACTCCTTTAAAATATTTTTGTAATAATTGTATTATTATTTTGAGAGGTACTGTACAATAGTAATATATTTCTGTCACAATTTCTTCGAGTTAAACGAAACTTATATTTTGACGACTTGTCGTGAAGACCTTTACGTTTGTGCATGTACTGTATTTGAAGATAGTTTTATAAAATTAAATGGCAAAATACTGGTCAATTGACTCTGGAGATGAAGTTCAAGTCCTCATATAGTGCGATGGCAGAAGCATCACATCACATGTGCTTGACGTGGTAGACAAAATCATTCATTGACAGAGACACGATTCTGACCACATTTTCCACATGGCTGAAATCATAGGGCTCTACATAGTCAGCCAAGAATAAACCCAAACCATGTAGTCACTCCAAAGCTTCCACAGAATATTTCATTTCCCAAACAAAAATCTATTCAGGGCTGTCATAATGTTACAAGTCTCTCAAATTCTCAAAAGACATCCTACTGTGTGAAACCACCAAAACAAATTCATGAAAGATATTTGGAATTTCTACATTGAAAACTGGTACTGATCAATCTGCCGATGTCAAAAACTCAAACTTAACATTGAAACATACTATTAAACAATCTAAACATGAATACTAGCCAAGGAAGAACGAGAGACAGGAGAGAGTATGTACTTATCAAACCAATATCAGCCATCTTGAGGTTTCTCCGATTATGGCAGCTATGAAAGTGAAGTGAGAACATCTTGCAGAAGGCAACCACAAGCAAGGAAGATAACATGGAGGAATGTTGGCAGCCATGTTAAAGAGCATCCTGGGCTGTGTTAAAGAAACTGTAAACTCATGCAGAAGCTGTGACTGATTTGTTGTGGGGTCTACTTATTACTGTCTGAAGTAAATCCCCCAAAGCAAACACAGCAAGACAGCACACGGTCAGATAACTAGCTTCAGACATGGATTGATTCCAGCTTTTCAACCCCCACTGTGAAATACAAGAGATCTTAAAAAATGAACATGTGCGTCTGTCCTAAAAAGCCACACTGACCTGTTGAACTGTGGTGGTCAGCTCCAGACACAACTGAATGATCTTGTTCTTGGTGCTGGTGAAATCACTGATTCCCGTCAATGGAGTTCTGCAGACAGTGGAAATGAAGGTTAAAGACAAATGTCACACTGTGTAAAAGATCAAATGAATACAAGCACAGGACAACACACTTCTAGCACAGGATTTTCTGATGTGGCCGTACAATAGCAAAGGACTTTATTTCCATCACTGTGTGTCTGGATTTTCTGAATCGGTGGTCATAAAAACTGAAGCTGGGATTTAAACACATTACCATGTCAGCTCCATTAAGTGCAGTCAAACTCTTTTATCCAGACAGATCAGAAGAACAACAACATATAACTTGAGAAAATATCACTGAATTTCTGTGGTGAAAACATCATAATAATAGTACCAGTGGCTTTGACTTTGAAGGAATGTTCTGAGTTTAAATCAACATCTTTTGCGTCATAATATCCACACAAAACTGCGGTTCCGCTTCACTTGAAAATCAAAGTAAACAGGGCCTTGCACTTCAAGGGTTTAAAAGCAGAAATATAAAGCTTGTAACGCTTGCATGAATTCTTTCTTATTTTATTTTTATTTTTTCAGAAAGAAACAAATATTCAATTCCTTTTTGCTTTTGGACTTTTTTTTTTTGGGTGGAAGAACATCTAAAATGAAACTAGACTAAACAAATTCTAATTCACATCAAGCATCATTTCTGAGTTGGGAATTTTCCTGCTTTTGCCAGAACATGTAGCGCAATAAATGAATAAATAAAGACAGCGGATAAGTAATTACATTAAATAAATAGTATTTTAGTTTAATGAAATGCTCCGTCAAACCCAAAAAATTCCTTTAAGATAAGTTAGCTCACTCTGTGTCCATATTTATATCGCCCTTGGGCCATACTTCCTAGTTATGCAAGTACTATAGTGTTTTTTACTTGAATGGAGACCGTGACTCTGTTAACTGTTTGTCAAAATTGAAATAAAGCAGTGCTACATTTTGTCTGTTGATTGGATTCCATTTCTTCTGCATTTTGCATCTCCAGACCAACTGAACTCTTAATGTTCTGCACTACAGCTGTGTTGAGCCATGCTTCTATGAAAAACACAATCGACACTTTTAATTTTGAGGAAAACAGCCGGCTTAGTTAGGGACACGTAATATTGAACAATTATATTGATCTGCCTGCACTGACACCATTATATGAGAACTGAACTGAGCTGGACGATGACATCACTGTTTTCTCCACAGTGGCTATATACATTCACCTAAAATATTATTAGGAACACCACACTAATACAGTGTTTGACCCCCTTTCGCCTTCAGAACTGCCTTAATTCTACGTGGCATTGATTCAACAAGGTGCTGAAAGCATTCTTTAGAAATGTTGGCCCATATTGATAGGATAGCATCTTGCAGTTGATGGAGATTTGTGCACGAAGCTCCCGTTCCACCACATCCCAAAGATGCTCTATTGGGTTGAGATCTGGTGACTGTGGGGGCCATTTTAGTACAGTGAACACATTGTCATGTTCAAGAAACCAATTTGAAATGATTGGAGCTTTGTGACATGGTGCATTATCCTGCTGGAAGTAGCCATCAGAGGATGGGGACATGGTGGCCATGTTCATGCTCAGGTGGGCCGTGGCATTTAAACGATGCCTAATTGGCACTAAGGGGCTTAAAGTGTGCCAAGAAAACACCCCCCCACACCATTACACCACCTGCACAGTGGTAACAAGGCATGATGGATCCATGTTCTCATTCTGTTCACGCCAAATTCTGACCATCTGAATGTCTCAACAGAAATCGAGACTCATCAGACCAGGCAACATTTTTCCAGTCTTCAACTGTCCAATTTTGGTGACTCTTGCAAATTGTCGCCTCTTTTTCCTATTTGCAGTGTACATGAGTGGTACCCGGTGGGGTCTTCTGCTGTTGTAGCCCATCCGCCTCAAGGTTGTGTGTGTTGTGGCTTCACAAATGCTTTGCTGCATACCTCGGTTGTAACGAGTGGTTATTTCAGTCAAAGTTGCTCTTCTATCAGCTTGAATCAGTCGGCCCATTCTCCTCTGACCTTTAGCATCAACAAGGCATTTTCGCCCACAGGACTGCCGCATACTGGATGTTTTTCCCTTTTCACACCATTCTTTGTAAACCCTAGAAATGGTTGTGTGTGAAAATCCCAGTAACTGAGCAGATTGTGAAATACTCAGACTGGCCCGTCTGGCACCAACAACCATGCCACGCTCAAAATTGCTTACATCACCTTTCTTTCCCATTCTGACATTCAGTTTGGAGTTCAGGAGATTGTCTTGACCAGGACCACACCCCTACATGCATTGAAGCAACTGCCATGTGATTGGTTGATTAGATAATTGCATTAATGAGAAATTGAACTAATAATCCTTTAGGTGAGTGTACATTGTAACCGTGAAAAAAAATGTTTGTGGTTTCTGGAGTAGCTGCACAGTAAAACTATGATTTTTTTAAAGTAATTAAACAAAGATTATGTTATTTCATCATTTCTACTTCAAAATTCCATAATTACTTGGGAAATTTACTAGCAATTTCTGAGTGAAACATTTTTTTCAGTGTTGAAAATCAGTCGCGTATCAGGGTCCACTTCAGCAAGGATGCTGTCTATGTAGGGAGGACATAGCAAGGCAGCTAACTGGGATTTTGAACAAAGCATCACAAAAATCTCAGCCTTCATGAGAAAGATGAGGTTAGCTGTGTGTGCTCAGACTGGTTAGGAAAGAAAGGAGGATTGTATCTGGTTACAAATGTCTGCCCTGTCTGGAAAAATCTATACATGCTGCTCATGCAAGTCTAAGTTCAGACTCTGCAGTGAATATATGAGCTTCCAGAGGTTTACCAGCAGTAAAAGCTCCTTATAAATCATCAGTACACAACACAAGCCTTTTACATTCTTAAATTCCCAATGAATGCCTCTATACATAAATAAGGTAACATAAATAACAAAGAAAAGATGAGTAGGATGAGATGTTTATACCTGTCCAGCCAAGCCAAGAGGCTTTTGGCTGCTCCAATAAGTTCAACCACAGAGGAGAGGAATTCATTCGGCAGCTTGCTAGATGTGTTGCTTTCACACGTAGGACTCTTCCTGCGTTCTGATGTTGCATTGTGAAGGCTGTTGGTCACAGCTCTCATCTTCAGCACCAGATTCTTCAAGTTATCCGTTTCCACACCATAGTTCTGAGGAAAAGGCACAAAATTATATATTACCGTAAAGCCCAAAGTATACTTGTTTTAAGTGTGCTAGGACATGCGTACAGTGTGCATGATGTAAATATCGTCATCAGTACAGTACATGCTTACTGTACACGCACAGCATGACTTTTCGAACCGCATGCTAGGTTATGCTTCACAATTAATCAAAATAGAATCAAAATCATGATTTGACTTGGTGCCATAATGAAAACACAAAGGCTGCGATTTAATTGAATGAATGCGCTGCGTGTTTTAGATTGAAGCAGCTCAGTGTTTTCAGCGTCTCAAAGAGGCTTGGTTCACAGTAAACGTTGCTCCACATGAAGTCAATTCATCCTCATTTATATAGCACTTTAAAGGGCACATATCATGCTTTTAAATAATTCATTTTTACATATAAATCATACCGTTGTGGTCTATATAAAACATAACTGCAATGCTTGGGTCTGAATTCCTCATTATTATAGCTCCACAGGCCCCTTTTCTGATGTGCCTCTTTGAGCGACCCGTTTCAAAGCGGCCCCTTTAAATAAAAAGGAGATGCGTCACACCCCGCCCGCTCTCCAGGTCGATGAGTTCACGGTCAGTTCAACTCCCCGTTCGGCCATTATTGTAGTTTGATTAGAGATATACGATTATATACGATACCTTCAAAGAACATTTTTATTCACACTTTAATAAAATGTCAACAACAGAAGACTTGTCCATCAAGCCTTACATATTCCAGCCAGAGCGAGCGAGTCGAAAAAGACGACGACGAACCTGCAGAACAACGTCTTCATATGGATGTATTGTTATGTGAGTTAACTGTTTTGTGTTATTAGTGAAAGTCGACTATTTCTCTTGTTAAAACAAGCAAACTGACAAGATAAATGACTACGGTCTAATCTTACCACAAAAAAAATCAGTATTGACAATATGATACGTTTAGAAAAGCATCAGAAAAACGCAGCTAAATGACCATTGATGAAACTCAAGAACAATAATACTGCAGACGTGTAATGTTAACGTTACTTCAAAACAAAAACAAAGAAAGACAAAGGTACTGCTAAACCATGACCACCATGTGTTTTAAGAAAGTAAAGTACTTTATTTTTATTAACGATATTTACAGCTTATCGAAATGCTCTGTTCGTCGTCTCCAAAGATAGAGGAATTGACCTCTCATTCAGACGAAGTCAATCCGCAAACCCTTCTTTATACTGGCGGATGTTGTTGAAGTGGGAATCCTTGAAGTGCTTCAGGTCACTAACGTACATCCAACAACCAAACATTTTGACTTGCCCTCTCTAAACTTCTGCATCACTGAGCTCGGACTACAAAATCGGAGTGAGAAATAATAATGGCGGATTGCTCGAAGTGTTGGGCCGGTAGTAATGTCCTTATTTGGCAGTTCCGCTGCAAATACGGTGACGTAATTCCTCAAAAAACGTCATAGAGAACAGAAAAATCTGAACAGGTTGAAAAATATGACCAAAACAGAATATAAAGATATAAACGAATCACCTGAAGAGAACAATTTCATCTTTTCTGTACTTATAAACACTCCAAATATACAACAAAATGCATTTAAGGGCTAAAAAAGTGGATTTTGCATGATATGTCCCCTTTAACAATGTAGATTGTTTCAAAGCAGCTTCACAGAGATAAACATTTAATTTAAGGTAACAGTTTTGACTCGCTAAACAAACTACTTGTCTTGCCTATACATTTTGATACAGAATTTTATTTTATTTTTTCTCCATCTCTGCCTCTGTGAACCGTCTCCCCATATTTATAATACGAAGCGCTCATCAACAAAAGAGACGTTTTTCCTGCGTTTTTTTTTTCTCAAAATGAAAGTTTGATGCTTTAATGTATGAACATGATGAAGATAAGACTTAGATTTTTTCCTAAATCGTCCAGCCCTACTGAATGTACGCTCTGTGCGCATGTACATCTTTTTTTTGTTGTTGTTGTAGTAATTCGTTTATCCACAAGGCGGCCAAAACACCTTGTGTTACATTTGAAAAGAAACGGAGACAGAACAACAAAAAAAGATGTCCAAATTGGTGAGAACTTATGCAACTCCAGTTTAAACGAGTACACAGTCATTTTTGTTGTTTACGGAGAGAAATAGCAAAGACACTGGACAAAGGTGAAGCTATCTAGTGCGCATATGTCGAGCGCCTGTGTTCACGCATGCTATCAAATGGAGTATACTTTGAAAGGGTTTATATTCGGCTGAACGCATATGCTTTCAGCTATACGGGCATGTGATCAAACCTTTACATTTTCACTATTGTGATTAATTGGAAACGGATTGGTTTTTGATTGGTTACAATTGCATATAGGTGGTTTGCAGTCACGTGATTGTGTTGACGCGCGGAATGCAGATGGAGGGCAAGGAGTGAAGAGCGCAATGCACAAGATGGAGGAAAATCCGTACTGTACTACTTTAGACGCTATTACAAGAGAAATATATCAACAGAAACTCGAAACATATGTTGGACGTGATCCTTACGTTATGAAGAGGACCGATTTTCAACTGAATTGAAAGATTTGCCTTCCATCGAGGCTGTAGATATCAGCAACTAACTCGTCTTACAGACATACTTTGACTTTACAAAGTTCGGAAACTGGTACGTTACACAAACAGCCACATAAATGTATTTAAACACCTGAATAATGTAATTATAAGCCACATAAATAATGTATTAACTCACATTTGACGAAGTGATCACTGCACACACACACACAGGCATTTTCCCATTCGGCTCCTCCCGACCGCAGACGTAGGTTTGCAAGGCATTTTTCCCAGTGTTTTTCTGTCAATTTCTTGTATTTTCCCCCCTTATGAACAACAACTTTTGGCACACGATAAAAACTCCTCGTGGTTTGATCGATTTGAGCAACCATAAACGACGCAAAACATTGGCATTTTGAGTGTGTTATAGTGCTTCCTAAATATAGAAAATCACTTCCTGCCCTCCATCTGCATTTCGCGCCATGGCGAGACGTCACGTGAAAACAAGCTATCCACAAGTTTCCTACGCCCCATGAGGCCTTGCGTCAAAAGTGGGCGCGACTTCCGGTTGGAAGTAAACAAAGCACGATTTGACATGCTTGACACTCGTACATTCAACAGTTGACAGTCATTCAAGTTATAGCGATCCAAACTAGCTAACGATGTGGGGACACAACCTCAACGAAATTCAAAAGGGTGAAATAACAGTACCTTTACCATCCGCAGTAGTTGATTGGGAGTATTATAATAACATTATTAATAATCAATACTCATCAAGGCATGGTGACAGACAGTTGTGCGAGCTGACAAACAATTAAAATAAAAAATACACACTTAGTCATTGTGCTTTGGAGTTTATTCAAAATTATAAATGAATGTGTTGCTTGAATACATTAACTGGCACATTTGGTATTCTGTCAACACAGGCTTTGATCCTGAGTTTAGGTGCAACATCAGTAGTGAACAGCCAATCACATGCTGATAAAAGTTTATAGAATATTAAGAATTTAAACAAATGTACACAGGAAGATTCGTCGTCTTTTGGGAGGTGATGGAAACTACAGTCGTTGGCAGGAACACTCTGATTTCGTTTTCAGCTTATGTTCAAAACAATCCCGTTTAAGCCACTGAATTAGTTTAGTCCGGCTATACATACAACCGCGAACAGCACATGTTGTCCATGAGCTCCGTAACGACATCTCTCACAAAGATTTGCGTCTTTAAATAGTAAAATAATTCTCCGAAAAACAGCTAGCCTCTTCGCTAACTAACACACAAAATACCATTGGAATGCTACTTCCGCCGCCTCACCGGAAGTTTCACCCACTTTATTTTTTACAGGAGCGCCCCTCGGAAACTTGTGGATTGGGTGATGCCTTATAGTTCGCCTGGATAGAGTCGAGGACTGTATGTGGAAGTGCAACACTGTTGAGGACTACTGTGGGTACACAGAATGTGGTCATGGATTCAAAACCAGTTGACACAACACAACTGACAGAATGGGACAGAACACAGAGGTCTTGACATGCTTTTGAAAGCTTTTTCACTCGACACTGTTTTAAACGCAGTGCTCATGGTGTGAGATGCTGAAAAACAGCAAGGCACAAAGAAGCGGCGTCGACCAGATTCATCACCACCTTCCCAACACAAGTAATAAGCTGATTTATCTGTTGAGTTCTCGATGACCAACATGCCCACTTCAAATCCATATTCCACTGTTTTAAATGCATTCAGTGAGCAGCTAGAAACATATTTTCCTTCTTTATCCAGATTTTTGTTTTAATTTCATTATTAGTTAGTGATTCCCGCATGGCATTGACTGTGAGAGAGCAATAAATCCAATTGCTTCATCAGCAGTGAAAGATTCTTCGGGTTCAATGCACACCAATAAGATTAGCATACTACACAACCTATTTCTCTTCTGTTTTTATTGTCCTTTTACAGGAAATTTGTAAATGAAAATTGATGCTTGACTTGCCCAATACTAAGTATTTATTAGACAATTCATATCCACTTCTGGAATGCAATGAATGTAGGCTTGTTCAGCAGACGCAGCAAAAAGCAAAGAGACTGTATTACATACATTGAAATTTAATCCACACTTAGAAGGCATCGTTCTTGGTGTATTAAATTCAACACCTCATGCTCAACTGTTACATGATGTAACGCAATTGGACCGTTTAAAATGTCACAGCCCTATTTAGACTCTAAAAATTGTTTGGCAAAATGTGTGCTGCTTGATTTAGCTGCTAAACCTGGCATCCCCTGTGCTCTACTTTTAAAATCTTGGAAAGGACAAGAGCATTCCTCCTGGTCTGGCAAATCGCAGTTTACAAAAGTACTGTATCTAAGCCAAAACTGCTCATCTCTGAAAAAAAAAAAAGAAAACAAATCTACTTCAGGTTGATCTGCTATGGTCTCTAGAAAGGATATTTTACCCATAAATAAAAATGATACCATCGTTTGCTTACCCTCATCA